TTTCCCTACGTGCTTGAACAGTCTTTTGGGGTGGTGGTTTTTTAGTGGTTTTCTTTTTCGTTTGTTTGTTGGTTGGTTTGGTTTTTTGTTTTGTGGGGTTTTTTTGACAGGAGGAGGGGGGCTGGGGGGGGTGTTTGTTTTTTTTTTTTTCCCTAATACCAAATGCAACTTATTCACAGCTCATTTAAAAAACACACAGTCACTGAGTGCCTTACACAGAAGCTGAATTCAACAGTCATGTTATTTTATGCTTGGTATTTGTTTACTTGCTTCATTGTTCTACTCTAAGTCCCCTGCGCTTTATTAGTTCAGGAAATATCTTCAACTTTTCCTGCATGGCGGCATTTGCACACTGCTTCATTGCTTGCTGAGGCTGTGCACTCTCAATTATAAGCAAAGTATCAGGAGGAAACACAATAAAAGCACAGGCAAAAGTCAGTCTAAACCAGACAAACAAAGGCTTGAAACAAATTGAGAAGAAACAAAGACAAGTGTATAAAATAGCATAAAAACCCAGAGAATCAGGTGTGAAAGGCACAGATGAATAGTTTATCAGTTAAATGTACAAATCCTTCCATAGTAAAGCTGAAGTATCACGGAGCTGCTCCTCACTGTACAACCTTCCCTGGTAATAGGAAGATTTAGAGGCTTTTGAACAAAGCTACTTTTATTTCTGCAGCACCAACACGGAAGACACAGAGAGTGACCCTATCTAGTCTGAGGGCTGAACATGTAATGTCTACAGAGGCTGCAAAGTTACACAATGAAACACAAGATACTTCTCCTCGGATTGCTCTCATGTTCCAGCCACCAAGATACCACAAAAACTTAAACGTCAGCGTGAAACAGGTAATCGTTAATAACCTCAAAGGCAGTGCTGTGACCATCAGCATCCTGGAACCTGACGCTTCGTCTGTTACCGCTGGTGGTGCACTACAAGGTGCAGAGCACACAATCCCCTGCTTTGGGCAGTGCTTCCAGACTGAAGTACAAACCCGTTCCATCGCTGGTTTGGGGGGGTTGTTTGTTCGGGTTTGCTGTTTGGTTTTGGTTTAGTTCCTTTAACACAGATGACAGACAGGAAAGTCTGCATCTTTTCCAGCAGAAAGGCCACATTCAGCAGAGGGTCACGCTAACCTTCTCAAATATTATGTTTATTGCCTTTCCTTCAGAATCGTAGTTTCCCCCCTAGCATGGGATACAGAATTAAAGAACACCGTATTTTACAACAGTTTGGAAATTAAAAACAATTCTATTTACTACACAACAGATGCTATAAGATTAAAGAGAATGTCTTTTCAGTTTCATTAACATATGTATATCTCAACAGTCTTAGATGTAGAATATTAAATGTATTTTGTAGAACAGTAAATGTTTGTTAGAAAAAGAGCCATTTTAAGGTTTAAAACAGCAAAAGCTGAAACTTGTCTATAGCAGCAGTAATGCTCCCAGACAAAACATAGCAACAGAATTGAAATGAAAACAAAAACCACATAGAAAACAAACAAACAAAACTGTCTTTCTTTTTCAGTCAGTGATTTTGAGTTTTAGGTCATATGTCTTCTAGATCCCCTTCCATAAATGGCAAAACATAACAATAATTACAGGTAGTGTCTAAGTGAGATTATTGAAGGATCTTCAATATGCCATAAAACACAGAATCTTCATAGCAGGAAAAAAAAAGTCTTAAGTTTCACTTCCAGAATATACAGAAATTCAATTTATCTCCATTTTTACCACACAAACATCAGGTTTTACACACTGTCACTGTCAATGCTGCTGTCATTGTCAATGCTGCTGTCACTGTCTACTCCTATGTGTTAGTAAGGCTGTCAGGATGAGATTTAGAAATTACCATCGTTTAGGCACTACCAGACCATCCATACAGGCATATATTTCCAAGTTAACGGCATCTGAACAGGAAAAAAGAAAAGATGTGTGGGAGAAAATTCCTATTAAATATACACCAGCACTAACTTCAGAAGGAGCACAACAAAATTGCAACTAAACCAGAAAGCTTTATTTTATATGCTTCTGCTCACTGTTTCCCCTACAGTTTGGGGTTGTTTTGTTTGTTTGTTTTAACAAGTTTGTAGACATGTAATAGAAGCAGTAGTGACCTTCTTTCATTTTTTCTGTACATGGACAACAACTCCTAAATCCCTGACCTAGCGAGACAAGCCAGTGAAAGGGCAGGCTCTGCTCTGTATACAATGTGTACCTTTAAAATACACATGCAGAAAAAAAAAAAAAAAAGCTATGCAAACGAAGGCTACATAGACGAAGCAACTGGGATGTGGCAATTACTCAGAGTTGCAAACAACTATTTACTCTGCCACTGGAAAACTTAAAAAAATAATTCACCATGGCAACAATCATACTTCATAGTAGATAAAGCACTGAATGCTACAAAGCCATTTTCAAAATGAATTATGCACCGGTATGTAACATGCACTTTTTTATGTCACTGCACACATATTCCAACAGAATTTCCTTTTGGACTCATCTGGCCCTTTCTCATTCTGCACCACACATCACCTACTTTTCTGACTTCTGTCCCACTCAGATCTCACAGATCTGGAATTGTTGAAGGAATTTATAGTGTTAGTCTGGGCAAGAGACTGATACACAACAACTAATACAGTGGCCTTATGCCATGCCATCACACTGCTGCTTTAATGTCTTCCCAAGAAGTCTATCAATTTGTGTTACTGGTATGACTTATGAATCCATAAAGCAAAAATCCTTAGTGCTGTAAAAACCTAAAATGGATAAGTAAACTGTTCCCTTGTAAGACCTTGAAACTCCCACTGTTGTAGGAGACCTAAATATCTGTGGGACTTATCTTAACTTCTCCTCCCTAGCCATGAATTTAAACAGAGGTAAAGAGCAATAGATTTCTTATAGAATGCACCCAGTTCTTGGCCAGCAAACATACAATGCCAGAGCAATGTCAATACTTTAGTTCATTACAGTTAGCTACAGTACCCTGGATAATATGAATCCATTCAGAGCTCATACGAGGAACAACTCTACCAAGATTGATGAGATGTTAAACAATATCCTGGGATAGCAGGAAATTGCAACCGTGCAGGTGGATTTGTTAAAAAACACTTTTCTAGAAGTAAGATCGCAACTCAATGGCTGCACTCATGCATTGATACCAAGAATAGTAACAGCTGTTAAGGCAGATTCTCTAGTAAGAGGTTACAGCAAATACAGGAAATTACCACATTAATTTTTAATGGATGCTTGTCAAGCTGCATCCTGCTCAGAATGCAGGTGCAAGCCTTTTAAAAATGCCTTTTAACTGCTATGTTGCACTTAATGTCCTAAAAAATTTTGAGGAACTTCTACATCCCATTTGAAAGTGATCCCAGGTCCCAGGGTTAAAATTCAGAATAAATTTACTCAGAAACATTAAAAGTTTCTAGAGTTCAGTCGTGCAGTGTCTCAGCAGCATAGCATGACCAAGTGTATGGGAAGATCCACACCATGGCACTACAATACAGCGGCCCAGATGCTGAGGAAGGAATTCCTAACGAGGGTGGATTCAGAACTAGTACCTACTAACAATATGTAAGGCAGCAACACATCTAAAGTACATTGCACTGCAAGACCTTTGCACCAACACCGTGTTGGGAAAAAGAACAGGAGAGCATCCTTGTGCTCCCTCCTTACAGACTGAGCGCTGGCGCTGGATGCACGTGGGAACAGGCAGGCTGCGTCCCCTGCAGCCACCGGCGGACTCGCGGGCCAGGAGCGCGCAGCGGTCAACACCAGTGTCTCCAGGAGGTACAGGCACACCGCAGCACGGATAACCAAACGAATGCTAATGTTATCAGAACGGGCAACAGGAAGTGTGAAAAGAGAACAAGCGGATAAAACAATTCTCCAGAAATGTCTTTACACTCCTGCATGATGGCAGAAAAGTTTTTCACTTTTTTCAAGAAAAAAAAAGTTGGAAATACAACAGAGGAGACATCTTTTTTCATTAGACACCCCTTATGAAAGTGTAATGTCCCACTCTTGCCCCGGACGTCCCTATACGGTTTCAGAACCAGGACGAAACCACAAACTGAAAAGGCTTATTTATTACATTATCTCCTTATGTTGAATTGAATGTTATGTTGAAAAAAAAAGTTAATTTTTTATTTCCTCCCATTCACAATGGGTTTTTTCCCCAACATTGCTCAAATTGCAACATATTAAGAGAAAATATGTATCAAAGTAGCAATTATGAAAAATGGCAGTATGTTATTTCTTCACTTAGAATCCAAATATAAGCTATCAGGCTTTGACAGGAAACCAGACCTAAGGCAGCAATGTACACATACAAGCAAATATACATACATCCAGTTCAGCTAAAGCAGCTTGAAAACTGGAAAATATATAATACATACAGGAGTTTCAATAAATAGTTTCATATTAAGATTAGAAAATGTTTTTGTCTTAAACACATTGCTGTCCACAAACTAGCAAGTAACTTCACCAATGGAAGTGGATGGGAAGCGGGGAAGTAGAAAAGTACATTGACTCTGCCTCCGAGGTTTTCCACTTACTCTGCAGTGGAGGCATCTAAAGAATATTCAAGTTAAATTTAAAGCAAATCAATTCAGAGCAATTAAAGTTAATCATAAATTATCCACACCAACGCTATTTTCAAGGAATCTGCAAACAGTGAAAGTTACTGGCCATGCCTTTCCAGGACTGAAAGCAAATTTTCAATTAAAAAAAAAAGAATTTAAAGAAAATTCCTCAATAAACAATTAATCAATAATAAGATGATAAAAAGAAAGGGTTTTATTTTCACTTTGACATTGATTTCAAAATGTTCTCAGAAACATTTTAACTACACTTTTAATACCATCACAGCTCCCTTTGCCCTCTCCCCCGACTATTTTGAGATTTACTTTGTTTAGAAGCAGTGCAAAATTTGATATTTAGCAAGTAACCAGCAACACTCCCCTAGCAGTGGACAGAGATCATGGCACTGTCACATCCAGTTCACTCACAGAGAGAAAGGCCTCTCAAGGAGGGCAAAGCAATGAAAGATTTTGCTGGGCGATCTCAAGAAGACAGTAGGAGCCAAGTAATAAGGAATGTAGCTCTTGGTACAAGTAATGCAACTACATTAATTGTGTCACCTCCTCAGAGACGTCGCCACAAATCAGAGGTGCTATTGCCCCAGACTGGCACATACTGGAAATACTCACAGGTGCTGCAACTGTATAAATCCAGTATAAAATACGGAAATTATTAATATCTAGCATATTCATAATCCACCAAAATCAGGTTTACGTGGATTTTATAAATGACAGAAAGGTCTAGATTTTGGTAATATGACAATACACACAGGAAACCATTTTTCAAAGAATGCCAAGTTCATCACTTTAATAACTAGATAAATAAATTCATAACAACTAAGTCAGCCTTTTAAAAACAAACCAGGAGATCTTGATTCAAAACCAAACAAGCACCAGAATCTCATGCACAGCCACATCTCTCCAGCGGTGTTTCAGAAATAAACCAGGCTACTTCAGCTCACGTTGCATTACATGTACCTCTCACCTCAGTATACCACGTACACCATGTCGTGAAAGAGACACCAAATGTTACAGTGCCTGTATATAAGAAGTGATCAATGCAAAACAGCAAAGTTAAAAGAGAAAACTACCTGCAGGAGCAGGTAGATATGATACCTATTTGGGTTATGAATGTTAAAATTACCCTCCCTTAATTATCCATACAAAAATTAGCAGCACTGCAAAAGAAAAATAAGTGCAGAAATTTTCACCTCACAATATATTTCACAGAATCGTTTAGGTTGGAAAAGACCTTTAAGATCACTGAGTCCAACCACTAACCCAGCACTGCCAAGTCCACCACTCAACCGTGTCCCTGAGCACCACGTCTACACGTCTTTTAAATACCCCCAGGGATGGATTTATAGCAATGAAAAACAGACGAAAAGAACCAAGGTGTGGAAACAGAAATATCTGCTCAGAACATACAGATTTTAAAGCAAAGCGCAAGCAGACAAGATTTTCAAATCTGCCAGGCTAGCAAATGTCGCACTGAGCACACACGGTTCCCTTGCAAAGCTCACTGGAGTGACCACGTATGCAGAGAACAGACAGAAAGCCTGTCATTTGAGAGAACTGTGTGTCAAACTTGGAGCCTGCTGTTAAACTACCGTACCCAAGCTCGGTGAAGCAGCAGCCAGATGGCTTAGGCTAGCTGTGCTAGCACCACAGCCTGGACCCCACAATCGTACCGTGTCACACCCGACATGCCACTGCTGTCGGTCAGCCTACACTGGGAGCTTACCTTTATTCGCAGGGGTTGGGGGTTTGTTTCTTAACCAAGATTGTCTGTGAAAGAAAACCAATTAAATGTTGGCTCTACCCACTAGGTGTCAGCAGAAGAAAGTGCACAGCCAATGCCTTTGACACAGAAAACTTGAGTCTCGTTCCCCCCTCAATTACCAATATACACAAAACTTAGAAAGTACTACAAACCACCTTTACACACACATCGTAATTACGCAGCTGTTTCTGTTGAAGATGACCTATTTTTGTGAATTAAATATTTAGAAGATGATAAAAACATTCCCTTTGCAAAAAATCCGGAATTTAAAAGTCATTCAAGTGAACAAAATGCTCACATTGGTGTCACTGTTCGAAATTTAAGTCATATTCATAAAGATAACAAACTGCCTCAATACAGCCACGTAAGCACACTGCTTCTCGTGTGTTTTACTGTGCTTAATAGCAGCAGAGGTGTGCGGAGGCTCCAAGTACATCACGTGTGATGGATACTCTCCCATACTTAAAATCCGCCTTAACACAACTACAGAAAACACATGTACACAGTAGGAAACATAACTGAAGCATAAAAATAACTTTGCTACATAAACCGTATGATTAGACTTGCAGACTCTATGATCTGGATATGTTTTTTCATGCAAAAGTTACTGAAGACCTTAGCAAGTTTACGGCAACAGTAACTCACCCATTCTTGGTGCACTGGTTTGTGTGTACATTACACAACCTCATACTTTAGAGTAAAAGCTTCCAGAGTCAGAGCTCTTGCTGCGCTTACGTTCATGTGAATTTAATGTCTGCTCTGTGACACATTCTGGGCCTACACAGAACAACGACAAAAAAGCTTCGCAACATTTATCCCGAAAAGTCAACTCATACCAGATGAGATGGTCTATGAAATTAAATTGTCTTATAAGACAAAAAATACGAAAGGAGGAAAAGCTGCTGAATCTTTGAATTTATTTCCTAAATACCAATGATTTTAAATGAACAGTCAGATGTCTCGAGTTACGGGACAGCAAATGCAAAGAACCACATCATGTTTGGTATTGCTTATGCCCATATTTATGGCATGTGAAGGCGATAAAGAGAAAAAAATGCAATGGAGGTATTTGAAAATACTTTCCTTTCCTAGAAGCTATTTCTTCTATTTGCTTTTCTGCTGTCTCAGACACAGCGAAATGATTCTATTTGCAACTGTTACACCAGTAACAGTTTCAAAATTATTTTTTCCAAACAGTCATTAAAATTTGAAAGCAAACTATGACAGCCACTGTGCTCTTTGTGGATTCTGATACACCAGTGGAGAACAATCAAAGAGTTGCTGCATACCCTTTAATATTCTTCCACTGTTCAACACGAAGCTCCCATCACCCCATATTTATATGAGAAGATGTGCATCGCAACCACTTTGAGCACTTGTTAGCACGTAATCCACAGGCCCAGCAAACGGAGCTGAGCAGCTGACAGGAAGTAACGATGAACACAACTGCTGGGTAAAGAGGGGATTACATGAGAATAAAGAAAACTGTTTCAAGTGCAGCTTTCGAAGTACAGCACGACAGAGAAACACAGGGCTTTAAATTACAAGATGCCTTACTAATTGCCAGCTACAACGCTTTGCTATCAAAGCACAATCCCATTTCCTTTTGTGAACTTAGCAAGTCGATTCCCTAATTGTTTTACACATTACACACTACTGCTTGGAGTTCCGCTGCATCTTCTCATGATCAGGTTTTCCAATGGTTTTGAACTAATTTTTAAGTGTGATGTTCCTAAAGGCAACAAGAGTCTCTCAGTAACCGCATTTATTGTTGGCACATTCTAAACCATAAGTGAAGTGCAGAGCAGCTGTGTGACCTGTCCGATACCCCACAGGATGTCTCTGGCAAAACGTGAAACCGAATGCAGCTCGTTGGACTCTGACATGTTCAGCACATAAAACACTTGCAAGTTTTCTTTATCTAAATCTTAATACCAAAAGGCATAATCAGAAATTAAATTTTAATTATAAAAGGACTTGGGAAAGAAAGCCCTGAAAATTTCCACTTCCTGATTATTAAAATTGGATTTTATGACATGTTTGTGCAATTATGTGTACAAGTTTTCTTTGATGAAATAAGCAAACCAAACAATTTCTTCTACTTCCTCAGGTTAGCTGTCCCTCAAAGTCACACTTTGTAGGGGTGTGCCGTTGTCAACTCATTTCGAATGTTCATCTTTAACATTCAGCCTTCAAAATACCAGATGGTATTTCCAGAAAAACAATTTAAATTTTTATTTTTCTTCATAAATCCCTTAACTAGTTAATCTCACACACACATCCAGGCAAAGCATACACCAATATTCCCAGAGTTGCCTGGCAACTACTGGGAGGAGCACTGGAGAATAAGGAAGCCTACATGGATGAAGGGAAGTCAGTGTCTCCCCGACACGGATAAAGGAACCTTATGGCCAGAGTGCCTTGCTGGTTTCACTTTTGTTATTTATATGGACAGTACTTTAAATACCTCTCTTTATTTCACTTTAGATACTTTAAAAGCCCAACTCTTACACCCAGACATATATACACAAGTCAATACAATCTATTTTTTCTGCACAGACAACACATGGATTCCCCCAGTAAGATGTGGAAGGACTCATGCTGACTTCAGAAGTCATATTTGAACCCCGAATATGAATTGTTGCTTATTTGATGGTGATAACTGGACTGTTTAAAATTCAGACTGAGCTATTTTTTCCTTCTGGCTTTAAAAATACAAGACAAACTACAGCACTGAAGAGACTTTAGCTACTGAAATATCCTCAACCTCAAGAAACACTATGCCTATAGCCCAACTTCTCGTCTTTTCCTTTAACATCATGACTAAAATTAGATTTATTACTTGTCTGCATGCCAGATCTCTTCATTGATCTTCACAGAGCAGGAGAACACAAAAATACAACACCTCAACTAGTAAGCCTTCATTCTCACTCCACTCATTTAGCCTCCCAACTTACACTCAGAACTCATCTTAGCATCTCCCAGTGGTATTCAAATTCTCCATTGCTACCACCAATGCTCCGTTCTGCCTCCAAATGCTTGCAGATGAGAGAAGAAGGTATTAGGACAAAAGTACATTGTCCTCTACAAAGATCTTCTTGTTAAGCAGCCATAGGTCTAAACAACAGTACTTCAAATGAGCCCGTGAACACCACGCTGAGATTTATCGCTGCATTCGACTTGCACATGTTTGTTTACGCCACTTCAGAAACAGGGAACGCAGAATATTTTGGAACTACTCTGTGGATCACTCTGCAGTTAGTACTTTTCATCCCCCATATTTGTGGGGCATACCTCATGAATTATACCTGAATGTTCCTCTTACTATTTACTTTGTCTACCTGCAAAACATACACACTTTAAAAGGAACTCCCCACGTACACAGTAGCAAAACCAGAGTGTCACAAAACATGTGGAAATATGTTACTGAAGTCCATGAAGCTACTTGCAGTAAGCCAGGATCAGATGCCTCACTAGAAGCAATAAAACCCGAGATCACATACAGAAAAATCCTTCCCCCACTCAGAATGCACTTAATCATCGCTGAATACAGATTACCTTCTGAACCAGAAGCGAGAGATTGAACTCCCTAACAGAATACTTATCGTCAACAGTTACAACTCCAGACATTCTTCATATTTTTGTAAAAGCACAATTTCTTTACCATGTATGTTCTTAAACTCCATGATTCCATAAATGTGCACATTTCACAGTTAAGCATATATTGTGTAAAAAGCTTACCTTTTACTACCTTTAAAAATAATACAATGAATACCCAGGTTTAGCAGTGAGACAAAACGGTCAACCCTGCATTAGCCTCCTATAATCATTAATTCATACTTTTTTTATCATCTCTCTTCTAACTTAACTGTCTTCAACACCAAGCGACATCCATACCTTTCCATAAGAAGGTTTGTGCTGTGTCATTCATCATGGTGGTTGTGCCTGTTTCTTTTTAGGAGACTGGAACACTGTTTTCCGTACCAGTCAGCCAAAGAACCACAATGCTGACCTTACTAGCAGTAGGTTACACTAGACTTTGAATTCTTGCTATTTTTTTTCCCCACTAAAGCTGCAGACTTACATCTTATGCCTACTAATTTCCTACTTACAGGTTCAATTTTCAAGGCATTTCTGTAGCTCCCAAAGAAAGATGCTTGTGCTTTTAGAAACGCTCTTGCAACACCGTCTCCAGTGGTTGTAGAGACTTTCTTCAGTCTGTTCTTCAGTGCAGAAACCTGAAATCACACAACGGGTATAGATCACTCATATCACAAACAAAGCTTAACACTTTAGGGGACAGTAAATGAAAAGTGTGCTAACCACAGCAGCAGTTATGTCAAAAAGTGACGTTGTGAATTCAGAGTTGAATTTTTCAGTTCCAAAAGCATTACTTTTCAAGCTGTTTTGCTTCTCTAAGATATGGCTGGATTCTATTCAGAAACCAACAGGAAAATGAAAGCTTAATTTCAACCTTCCCTCCTACTTAAAATCCGCCGTTAACATGCTGTTGAGTACTCTTTTAAATGTAGTCCATGAAGTTCCGTGTTGTTCTTTATTACAATCCATGAAAGAATTTCAGCTAAATTAATTCAAACATCAGACTAATAGAGAAGCTGTTCTCCATAAGCAGGCCATCCATCACTACCAAGGCCAAGAACAAATTCTGTAGGTCTGAAGAATTTGTTTGCCACGAATACAAGTTGTTTTTTTCTTTTAAGGCTAAATGCCCTTGTATTTCAGAGACTTAATGGAAAATAACAAAATGAAAGTTTTATTTATGCCACTGGTGGGTTCCTTGGCTGGCTCCCAGACACCCACCCAGCCGCTCCCTCTCTCCCCCTCCTCAGCAGGACTCGGGGAGAAAACATGAAGAAGCAGCTCGTGGGCTGAGATGAAGACAGGGAGATCACTTGCCAATTAGCATCACGGGCAAAACAGACTCAACTTAGGAAAATTCATTTAATTTCTTGCCAATTAAGGTAAGATTTGGATGGTGAGAAACAAAGACAGAAAGTCAAACACCTTCCCTCTGCCCCTTGCCTTCCCCCAGCTCAACTCCCCACTCCATTCCCTCCTCCCCGAGTAGCGCAGGGCAATGGCAACAGGGCTCGGGGTCAGTCCTAACAGCTCCTCTCTGACGGTCCTTCCTCCCCACGCTTTTACCTGCTCCTTGCTCTGCCGTGCGGCATTCCACTGTTCTGGAACCGGCTGGACCAGGCCATGTCCTGCCCCGGCCTCTCCTCACAGCTGAGGGCTCTGCTGCGCCCAGCGGGAACCGGCTGGAACCGGCGGGAACCGGCTGGACCAGGCCATGTCCTGCCCCGGCCTCTCCTCACAGCTGAGGGCTCTGCTGCGCCCAGCGGGAACCGGCTGGGACCCGGGGGGAACGGCGCGCCGCCGGCAGGGATTGCACCGTGCTGGAACCGGCTGGACCGGGCCATGTCCTGCCCCGGCCTCTCCTCATGGCGGCCCTGTGGCCTCCCTGCCAACGCCTCGCCACCAACACCCCACACAATCCAGAAAACAAACCCCACCGTTTTCCAAAAGTCTCAAATTAACAAGGACATTCTGTCTACTCGGGTTTTGTTTTGTTTTGGTTTTTTCTCTTCCTGTTTCTCAAGAGATCTAAACCACCTGTGCGCAGGACAGCTCCTCTCCTAACCCCCACCGCCCTCTCCCTTCCACTGTGGAGGTGCTTAATTACCTCAGGATTCACAGAGCTGCACTTTGGGCCAACGCAGCCCTGGGCGCCCTCATTACCATTTACGCAGAGACACTTACCGACCACAACCCAGCAAATATCAGCCAACCACATTTCCATGCAGGCGGAGTTAAAACTGCCATGACCCGGGTTACACGAATAGTCTTTGTTTTCTGTGTACACCAAGTGCTAAAGTTTTAGAGGATTATCCATTACTGGTTCTCTGTGCTTCAAAATTTCCCATACATACAAGAAGGTTGTGACTTAGTTTGATGCCTCTTTTCGAGTGCATACAGCTCAGTAACTAGTGAGGTAAGGTTGTGTGTGTACGTATTATTGTTAGTGACAGTGTTTTCCTTTCCCAAACACAAGCTGGGAAAGGAGATAAAAAAATCTTTCAGAGATTAACATCAAGCTTGCTGTGCCTGTGCTGCAGTGGTTATCAGTTACGTTAAATCATTAACAAATAGCTATGTCAGTAGCAATTTTTTGGTGTTGCAGACAGAACCAGGACAAGCTAAGGTTTTGAGACAGATCTCACACAACACACAGCAACACAAAACCAACAATCCGCACACTGATTCTTGAAGGAAATTCAACTAGCACTTTTAGAGGATGCGGTCATGTCACGTGCAAAACCAGAGTTTGATGTGATACCTTACGCACAAGACAGGAAAGAAGGAGAGCAGAAAGCCAGGACATCCCTAGTCATCTCACTTTGCAGAAGAAAATGAACAATGCCACAAATCTCCATATTATGAAGTTAACAGAAATAATTTATCAATAACTAGCAAATCTTCCTTTTTCAAATGCTATCCTGAAAAACTCCATTGGGGCAGCTCTATATACTTCACACTATAAGGAACATTATAGGAAGATTATTTTTAGAGTAAGCAGACTCTGTTGTAGAGAACATAACTGCGTTTTCTGAGAGTATGAATAATACCTTATAAAATATAACCCGGTGGTTCAAGCGTTCCAATTAACTTTCAAGTCCTTCCCCTCATCCTCCAGCTCATAACAAAAGCTTATTCTGGCCTCATCCATATCTCCAAAATCCTACCAGATGAGTTGAGCTTTTTCTGCCTCAGGGTTTTGCTACCAGCCTGCCTTAGCAGCAAATGGCAAGCTGATTTTACTGAAAAACTGTTCTTGAGTGCTCAGTTTTATCCCTTCTGTACACACATCCCTCACTTCCTCCTCCAGTAGTCTTAGATTTGGGGAGGGCAGGGAAGGGACTCCTCCTCTTGCTATATAGGTGTTAAATACATAATCCATACTGTGTGCTACTTTTTCTTCTTTTAAAACTAGATGTTTACTAACATTTGTGTTTACCAAAACAGTTGCAAAGACATTTCCTTTTAAATTTCCTGCAGATTCTGTTGCAGAAAGAATTTCATTACAGTTATTTAGTATAACAGAAATAATCAAGAGCGCATCCAGCATCGTTTATAAAGCTAAGTGCTGTGGCTAACGCCAATGATCCACGCATTAACGAGCCCATAAGCACGTATTAACATGATACACGATAACAGATTTAGTCTATCATGCCCATAAAATAAGCTCACTCCTATTCATGGAGATAATGTCTCTCAAGGAGCTCTGTTATTCTCAAAATGTAGAAGCTCCATCAGATTTTCAAACCCAAACAGCACACTTCTCCATGCTTGAAGGGGTCTGATGTTGTAGGGATGAAGTACGTGTTTATTTCCTTTATGAACTTCTGTAAATCATCTGAAGGCAGTTCTTAAAAGTGCAACAAAAGGTCCATAGCTCTGAGTAACTTCCGAATCCATCTCAAACATTTTTAGAAGTGGTTTTCTTTAAGCATTCACGTGAAGACAAAAAACTTGCTATCTATATAGAAAGAAAAGGCTCTATGCTTTGTTTTACACCAAACTAAAAGTTCAGAAGGGTAGTCACGGCCTTTCTCTGTTTCAGCTCCTGTTTGGTATAGAAGCACAATATTGATAGGTATTTTGCCAATTCCTTAAGCTTTCAGTTCATTTGCTCTCTTTGCAGACTAAATCCAACACTGTGGGATGACTATTTCACATACGTACACTTTTACTCTTTCAATCAGGATTATTGCAATAGGCACATCATAGTTTTTTAAAAAAGAAAATGTTAACAACAGCATATTTAAAGAGACTAAGAAGCAAGAAAAAAAAATAACTCGTGTTTCTCTGGAATAAATTAGTACATAAGACAAAGTAATTTATACTAGCAGAATTAGGATTGTTTCCTGCCTAAAGAGGCAGTAATACTTTAATAAAAAGTAAGACTGTGACCACTCAATATGAAGATTATTTCTAGCCAAACAGACACATATACATGCAGTCTACCCTGAGAGTGTTTTTAAAGAAGATTTTTATACTTCTGGCAGTTCAGGTTTAAAGGTCAGATTTAAACTATCACCATGTTTCAAAATGCAATCTGTGCAATGCAGCATAATGAAATGGTTCAGTAAAGGTGCTAGTGGAAATTCTTTTAATTAGGTCCAAGGCTTTTCAGTTGTCAACATGAATAAAGCAAGAAACATTCTATTGCAAACACAGTGGAAGAAATAAAAATGGATTCACCTTTAAGAAAATGGTTCTGCTATAGAGCTGTAGTTTAGCACTTCTTGCTGTCCTGAAAGCAGTTAATTTCCCACTAAGTGAAAACCTAGGCTTCCTACTTGTGGTAACTGCTAATGAATGGGCAGCAGCAGCACAGACAACGAAATTACTGACAGCCCACGATACTCATAGGCTAGTGCAAATTTACAATACTCTCACAGCCATCAGATATGCGAGATCTCTTTGGCGCAGCACACCGCATTGCATCAGGCTTCATTTAATAAAAACTACAAGTTGACAGAGCGAGCTTATGCTTTATTCCTTGTAATGTGAAGCTCTGACTACAACTAAGACTAGAAGATGACACTTATTTGGAAATACATGAAAAATCCATAAGGGTTGCATAAAAAAAAAATTACTACCCCCTCTTTGCTATTCCTTGCAACACAGACGGTGGTGTAGGAGACTTGTCAGCAGCAGATGCACTTATTGTAATCACAGTCCTTAATAAATCTCTTTTTTTAATATCGACTATTTTAAAAGGGAAGTAACTTCCCAGGGCGTTCTCATGCTGCCAGATCTTCAGCAACACATCAGAAGCAGAAGGTGAAGGAGGGACAGTTATTCACATTTCAAACAGTTCATCGGTAACGCAGGAGCACACACCTTGATTTCCAGGGCCCTGACCGGAACGGTTCAGGAAGCCTGACTGCTCACAAGTACTGCTGAGGCAACCCGGGGCAAAAAAATGACTCAATGTCATTCTGCTGGAACTGTCTCAACACTATCCAGCTCCTTCCACACAAATGTTAACTGGAAAGACATTTCACTGTAGCCTATGTTCGACTGGATCCTAGGACTAAAAGATTAAAGAACAGTTCATTCTAGAGTCCCAAGAATCAACGCTTTAGGTAGCAACATCACTACCATGAAACTCAAGCACAGCTCACTACCTGAAGCCCTAAAATAATCATAGGACCTCATTTACTTGACTAAAAAAGCTGTTCTGGATTAATTACCCGGTGGTGAATGCATCACACTGAAGATGCTTTTCCTCACTGTTCAATATACATAGATTTAATTTAGCAAAGTAAATTTTGTGTCTATTCAGGAGCGCATGAATTGCTCGCTGTTCACATTAAGTAGCAAAACTGGCAGAATGCTTTGCCATAACAGCCATCTATGATCATGATACTGCTGAAGACATTTGTAGTTTCTCAGATCATAAATGCATCTATTTAGACTGAGACCAGTGGGGAGAGACACTCCCAGAATCTCCCTAACCTCCCAGGGAAGCAAAAGGGAAAAAAAAGTAAAAAAAAAAAAAGTATAATGGATTGGCTTTAGAGTCTCCCTGCTGAGATGAACAACTTGATCCACTTACAGTTCCAAACACATGATGCATGAAAGAACTGACAGAAATTCAATTCTTGCAAAGAAGAGCAGCTGCTCTCTAGTGGTCAAAGCCAAATATTAAGCAGTCTGAAGGAAAGGAAAAGACCTAGAGGAGAATACTTCATTATCTAGGTAACTAAAATAATGAAACAAAGCTAAATAAGACATAAACACTGATCCCAAACATTAATTACACAATGCAGCACAATTCAAGTTAAGGCTTTGTTGCGACAAATATTAATCCCAGCTGTATTTATATAGCAGTTGTGAAAAAAAATACACCATGTACGCTCTTTGTGAGCCATGCCAGTTAATTGAATTTGCTGGCAGCACTTCCTCTGCTATGCTCCAAACATCCTCCAAGATAAAATGTAGCTTTTAAATAGACCTGTGGAAAACTGAATCAAGAAATTTCAACTAATAAAATGCAACTCTCTACTGTTATAAAAGTGAAGTAAAAGTAAATAATGAAAGGAAGGAAGTCTCTTAAAATTTATTACATTCCAAAGCTTGAAGTTTTGTGTTTATTGGCGAAGTCTCTTCTGATGTTCTACAGTGCGCCTACAACAGCTCCTTTAATGAAGTCTCATAAAATCTAATATAATACTTGATTGTTGACAAATCATATACATGTTTGAGGCCCCGCACTCACTGTATCCAGACATTCCTTACATAATTCCATTAAATTCACAAGTCTGTCATTCCCGGGTTGTGGATAATGGCACGAGTGATGCCCAGCTGGCAGATTTGGATGCTGGGAGTGAAATCAAAATGAAAAACTATATAAAGCCAGAAAAATTCATGGAAGTAACTTTTATAGACTAAATGCTTGACTAAAGCCAAAATGTTCACAATCAAGATGGACTTCTCATCCAGAGCTCCCTGTTTTCGAAGAATGGATCACACCACAGATCACAGTGAAGTGACGGGAAGTCACAGTAGGAGGCACTGGGTATTCACCATTACTTGAGTTTTTCCTCAAACAGACCAGCTTATATTGAGCTCCCTGCATATCAATTTTATTTCTCAACTACACATAAAAAGGTATAGATCTAACTGTCAGCACAATATTTTGAACTAGTAGAAGAAATCCAGATTTTTCCCCTGCCGTTTTCTCCTAAACAGTCACCCTCTGACTTAAAAATAGCTTCTTACACTCTTACTCACTTTACTGCTCTTCCCTCTCAGCTTCCTTAGTGAAGATGATTACAGCAGCAAGTAGCAAGCTGGATGTATTCTCACCCCATTAAATGGAAAGATCAAGTATTCATATAACACTTCTATCAAGTTATTAAAAAAAATTAATAACCAATAAAAAGTTTGAATGAGAAAGAAAGTTCTGAATCATATGCACTGAGCAGTGCTAGAAGTGACCATTAAGTAGTCCATTTGATATCCCAACTCAGGACACAAAATGCACAGAGTTCATTAAAGCTTACCTGGAAGAAGTCACAGAAAACACACCCCACCCCACACACCCCCCCCCCAATTTCATTTGGAAACAAAAGTTATCTAAAAAGGCAAGATATTTTTTTTTCCTATTGGAATGGACAAAGATGATTTAAAATAGCAGCACTTTTTCACACCATGAAGAAGTTTAAATTTTTGTTTCCTGTTCAGATGCACCATAACCTGCATGGTTTTCATTTGTCTTTTCTGCCCATAGAAGACTAACTCTTTAGGGGACCTGAAACCCGTTCTTGCCATTCCAAAACTGAAGCTGGGTTGCTGCAGCATTTCTAGCTCATGTGAGCATCTATTTTCTTTAGGCTTAAAAATGTGTCTGCACATGTTCAAACAAACATTACTTAACCCTTCAAAAGAGGAAAGGATTGAGGTAAAGCCGTTTATTTCTAATAACGAAGAGTGACACAACGAGATGCCTCAGTTACAATCCGAACAGGTCAAAAGGATTCACACTTTTAAGTAATGGAATAGTTGGATAAATCATTTCATACATACCACATCATTAGGAAGGCTCTGAAGGTCGTCAAAAGGGGTTTCCAGTGTGTTGGTGTCTACATTAAGAATCACTACATCTTCCAGGGCCATGCTTCTTACTTTCTAAATAAGAGAAAATTCAACAAAAAAGGGAAAGGAAAATATAATTACGAAGAGTTAAATTTTATGCATAAAGGGCACAACTGATGGCATAACATCATGGCAATACAAAACTTCAAGCATTTTAAAAACAACAACATTCCTGTCTTTCTGTCATCATGTGTTTTCTTTACTCACATTTTCCAGTGCTGAAAAATTAACCTTCAGTTTGCAGAGGGAAGTTCTTAACGTGGTGCACACCGAAATTTTTGAAACCAGGGAGTTACTGTTTGTCATTATTCAAACAAAGATTTCTTCCAAGCACCTCTGCTAATGTTTGCCTTAATTCTGGTATCCTGTTTGCACATTTCAGTTTCTGGCTGAGTAAAGATTTCAAGCCTATCTTTTTGTATTTAGAAATTTTTTAATAACAATAACAATAAATAGTGGCTTTTCTAGGAGTTAAGAGTTGCAGTAAGTTAGGGATGGGAACTGGTTTTCAAATTCCAGGTTGAATTTTGGAACTCCAATAGAGACCAGTTTACAACTGTGTTTAAGTAAAATGGACACTACCAGAAGTTAATAAATCAATAATGAAAATGGAAAAAAGCGAAAAGAAAAATAACTCCACCATATCCTGGTCTCTTAATGGTCAGCGAGTCTGAAGTTTTTATCCTGTTCCCATTAACCGAGAGAAAGAAACGTCTCTAATCTAGTTTGAGTGTTAACATCATCCGTAACAGCACACGGACAGACAAAAGAAAAGCATAACCTATTTCTCAAAAGAACAATCATCAGTACCTTTGACTTTAAGTGTCTAAAGGTATTGGTGATCTAAGCAAATTTAAACACTGTCAGACTTTATTTCCCTGCTTAAACAACAGTAAATGAATCACTGATATGAAACAGCACCATTTAAATATTTATTTTAACACTTTTTCCACTAACATTGAATCTTTCTTTTTTTTTTTTTTTTTTGACTGACTAATCATACATATTTAAACCCTCTTCAAACAAAGCTTTGAGAATTTGAAATCAGAAAAAGTGGAACTATAGAATATGGCAATTAAGGAAATTTCCCGGTGATACTGTAAACAAATCTAAGTACCTACATACCTATACATAGGACCAAATGCAAGTTACTGAAAAGGAAAATGAACAAAAACATACTCAATTTTTAATTAAGGTTTTGCAGGGTGGGGGGAATTGTTTCCTTTAAAAGAAACAAATCAAAGCTCTAAAACAATGGCAAAGTTGAGCCTTAGGCATCTAAATAATTACCTTCAGTTTTCAAGGCTCAGTCCTCTGTCTATAAAGAAAACTGCTGTGTACTTAGTGGGGGTGGGGGGGAAGCCGGCAACTATAAAAAACACTTTGTAGACATTTAAGTTTAGGTCTTCCATGAGAAATTTCTTTAACTTAAATGGAAGAATATCACATTTAATGCCTTCTATATAAAAAGCACAAGTACTGCATGACAAACCAGGTACTTTCCTCTCCATTTCAGGAACCAAAGGTCAACTCTGTTGGCTGCATCTGATAAACTCTAAAGCAATCCAGGAGTCTTGCTCCTTCTAGGAGTCCGGAAGCACCAGACAAACTGATTTGCTCCTTCCTGTTTCAGAAAATTAAAAATCTCACTTATACTCAGAGGAGTCTAAAAAGCTCCAACAAAAAGGTCTTGCAACGAACTTAACCAAAGCCAGAAGCTTGTCAAAATTGAGTGCTAGTAGGACAAGACAGAAGGAATTAAAACCTTCTCTTGATTCTTGCCAAAGAAGCAACAAACGTGTGCTTGAGCTTATCAATGGGTGTTTTTGTAACTCTGGTGACGAATCTGCACCTTCCCTTCAGCAAAACGTTGGGGTTTTCTGTAGCAAGGAATAGGCTTGTGACAAGCGGGCAACTGCCAAGGAGTACAGGACAAAAGGATGTTGCTCATGGTGCAAGGACTATAAATGCTGATCAACGTCATCATCTCCACACATGGCCCAGAAATAACTGTATCTGAGAGGAAGGCTACTATGACACTCTGCTGTGCTACACCTTTACATCGCGAAGAGCACAACCTTACCTTAATACTTGTATTAAGATGGTGGATTTCCCTGGAGACAAACCCTCAAGTTTAATAAAACACTGGAGACTAACTTGATTTACAGCATCTGTCTTGCAATGCATTGGAAAAAATACAATTTTTCAATGGTTCAATTGTGGCTTATCCTAGAGAAATGCAGACTGACCAGTTCATCTTAATCCTTATCTGGTTTTATCACCTTTTATTTCACTATAATCTTTGATAAAGGTATTATCAGATAGTTATAAGGAAGGCCTTTTGTCAAATAATCACATGGGTCTTTCAGCAAACGTAGCACCTATCAGCCCATCTGACCTGGAAATAAAAGTATTGACTCTCTTGTTGGAATTTTAGTAAGAATTCCCAGCATCCAACTGCATTTCTCACATTGAATCCCACCGGGCTCTATGAATCGCAGCTACATGTAGACCACTCTCACAGGTCCCGTTTGCATGTTGTAATTTTCTCAAAATACGAAGGGACAGCCACTAAGCCACAGTCAGTCACGTTCTGTATTTCACAACTTCCTGAATATCAAGCAAAATTTTACAAATAAAGGGATACCTGTTAAACACAATGGGTTATATTCAGTATGTCCATATTTTGCTGAAAAAAAAGTGGAGAAGCAAAAAACAAGAGGAGCTATGAATGTTATAGCTTCCTTATCTCATTTCACTACAGACTAGGGATTTGCTGAGTCAAAAGAAATGATTCAGTGAAAATGTGCATCACCTATCACTACTGCAAACCCTTCTCAACCATCCTTACCAAGGTCCTTGTAGCCATAATTAATCATCTAAAAACGATCAAATCAAACTAACTTCTACACCTGCCGTTTATTTTAAACGTCTCTTTTAAAAAGAGTGGAGAGGTATGGAAAGCTGGTTTAACAAGCACACTGAACCCATTGTTTATGGCCTCTATAAACATGGCTTAGTAAGAATTACCGACTTAATCAGAGAGAACTTATCTCCTGGTGAAAAGAGCACTTTAAATTTCAGAAATTGCACCTTTACTGTGAAAATCTCTTAACTTTTCAAACAAACTCCAGGGGGCCTTAAACACCAGGTCAGTAAATAAGCAGCATTTAGTGCATCTGTCCTGCTCACAAGCAGCCAAACACTTGAAGCAATTTAAATGTCTTAAGTTTGCAAAAACACTGAGAAACTATATTCTAATAGAAGTATTATGGGGTGCTCCTGTGTCTCACTCATGCTAGCAGCAATATTCATCAATAATACTAACATCAGTTTATACTAAATATTATTTTATTATCACTGTCTGCAGTTGGCAGGTTTTGCATTTTCTACCATAAAAAAATCCTAAGTTAAACTTCTTTCAGGTGGACAATTTTATTAAATGGTTATTTTTTAAAAAAAAAAAAACAAACCAACCAACAACCAACAAACCACCACCACCACTCTCCTCCCTCCCCAAAACCAAGTTTGCATAACTGCATGTAAATTGGTGCCAAAACAGAAACCAAGTTGATCGTGAGGTTTCATAACCAGACACAAGTGTGATAAACTTATTACAAAATGTTGTAACAGAAAAAAGAAAATGTACCTTCCACCAATTCCTTTGGAAAGGTAAAACTCTTAACAAAAACTAACATTCCTAGTAGCTCATTTGTACATTATACTTGAATTTATTATGAAAGTATGATTCACAGGAAGTCTAAAATCCATTTGCTTAATGACTTGTCTCTACTTAGTTAATAGTTTCCATTTATTTTCTTAAGAAAAACACCACAACACTGCAGACAACAATGTGTCAATCTGGCTGCCAGAAGCAGGAAAGGCAACGGATATAAAATTTTATTATTTCATGCCCCAACAGCAGCCAGAAGGACTTAATGAAATCACCCTTAGATTTACAATCTGAAATAGCTATTCAACAGACAAATCTGGTTAAGCTGGATGTGCCCCCTGACCTCCCAGCCCTTTGATCTGGGCCCAGCAGGTGGGCTGCTGCCCCCTCCTGTGCATCTCCCACTCTTCCGCCCATCTCCCACCCCTGACGTGGGGGACCCTGATCCTGTACAGGTGATGCTCCAGATCCTTATCACAAGCAGCTGTTGCCAACTGAGTGACAAACCCCACTAGTGCTGGTCTAACGCTATTGTACAACAGAGGAAAAACCTTCTCCCCTTACCGGTGAGTCTACTTGGTACTGCAGTACTTGTCTGCCTTAAAACCTACCCCTCACACAGAATCTCTTATTAAAACACAGTTATTATTTTCATTTTTCCAGTAATTGGCTGAAAGACAATTCTATAAGTAATCTGTCATATTTTTAAATGCATTTTTATCAATACTCCTGAAGCCACGTACAGCCATATTTATGGTATTTGTGAGTGACTAAATTACATGTAATTTTTTAAGACCTGGATTTCAGTTTATATATAACCCCTTCATTTAAACCCTGTAGAAGAGCTACACTTCTTCAGTTACAGCTTGAAAAGGCAGTGATTTACAAATTATAAATGGATGGGAAAAGCTAAATATTACTCCTCATCCCAGTCAAAAAATATGGTTTACAATTAACACTACCACTGGAAGATGCCAGTGGTCAGTGAATTCTCAGGGTGTCTTCTGCAGCAACAGGAAACCACGTGGCACTGTCAGGACTAAGCCCAAGCTGACGTAGCCCGTTCCTCAGAGTTCGTTACCTCAGACTCCCTGCATGCTAACTGGTCTGTTATTGGAGTGGATCACAAACACAGCATCCTCATGCCTACCTGAAAAACACCAGGTAAATATACCAAAAAGTGCCTCCAGAGTACATGTGTGGGGATCAGAGGACGGAACACACAGCCCTCCACTCACCTCTGCCTAAGGAACAGACTACTGACGTTACGTGGGATCAGCTGCTGCGTCCGACCATATTAAACACAGCATGAATTTTAGTGAACCCTCTTCCTAACATGAACATATTTACTCATACCAGGTTAAAGTAAAACAGAAGCTGCTCATGCGGGTTTTACTATGGGCACAACCGTCCTTTATGCTTCGGAAAAACGTTAGAAGATCATTCTGACAAATGCAATGTGAAGGTTCACACACAAACTCATTCTGGATAGTCTTGCAAGAATTAAAAATCTGGAGTCCCAGATCAAGTCCTTGAGTGACTGGAATATTAAAAAAAAAAAAGTATAAGAAATACTTTTCTCATTAACTTTAACTCTGAAGGTTGGTTTTGTGCCCCGAGTAGACCATGAAAGGGCGGGCATTATTCAAACGACCAAAGCCTGGCAGAGAAGAGCACACTGCTGGCAGCTCAGCATCTGACAGCAAACCAGAACTATCCCCACTGGTTAATCACAACCACATGGGCCCAAATTCCAATAGGTAGTCTACTAGGTCAAGGGCATTCCTCTTCCATCAGCGCCATCACACTAATAACCTTTCCTACAGAAACAGTTGCTGAAACAATCATTGATTATGACAAAATGTAAAAGGCTGCCAGCTAAGTTTGACACCACTTCTAACACAAAGGTCAATTTAATATAATTTGAACAGTAAAATAGCATGCAGCACGCAGGTAGAAAATAAAACAAGATTATGAAAGGGATGTGTTCATTTGATAGAGTTTCATTTTCCTATCTCATTATTTATCAGTACTAAGTACTTATCTTCATCTAATATGAATTCAATTAGTTCCGTAAGCATGTTCCATTATTCATGTGATAGCTCCAGCCTTGCTTATCCAACAGCTTATAAACTTTTAGCCTTCTTTGAAGTCACTTTATGGATTGCTAAATGGAAATCTTATAAAGAATGACTAACTAGGTGATGATAGAAAAGCTGAAAAATAAGAGCACAAAACACAGCTCTATATTTTCTACCATTTTCACTCATAAATCAGTTGGAGCCCTCTGACCTATAACAGGAGATTATCTTATCTCACTGGAGAACATTTCAGTCACAGCAAATTAGATTTAACAGTCAATGGATAGGCTTGATATTTTAATCATAAGAAAAATTTGTCATTTTCCATTAAAATAACTGCTTCTTCTACAGAGACCCCATGTAACACGGGAAACTGCAAACTAACTTTAAGATACAAAATGGTTTGAAACAAATCTTTCAAGGTGAGAGAGAGGGTGTATTTATTTTTCTTTAAAGTCATTCACATTTCTGCTGTAGTTCTTCCAGAGGACCCATTCCAAGATAGGGATAAGCAAAAACCCACAGAAAAAACACTAAAGCTAGAAATTTTATTTTATTTTTCTCTTACATTCCGAACTCACTTCCCCTTTACCCTACAGCTTTCTCTGCACAAGTTTAGGCTTCCACTAACATTTACGCAGCAATGACAAATTCTGCAGTTGGAGCTGCTGGAGCAGAACCGTGAGCCCATCCATGCAATTACTCCCATGGGGCTCTACAGCAGATAAAGAGTCCACCTGTCCTCACTTGAACAGAAGACTGGGGAATTAATCCCTTATCCTGGAACTAGAACACGTGGATTAGCAAAACACTTTTGAAGATCTATTTGCTGAAATTTCAGCATTCAAAGAAAAAATGAATATTGAATAATGACAGTAGTTTTTAGTTGTAGTTTATAAAATTATTTTGATATGGAAAAATGAATACATTGTGTGTTTCTAAAAATCAACTGCTAGCTAGATCATGAGTAAAAAATTGCTGTGGCTACTAAGTTGCTATTCTAACAAAAAAACCCCACAATTTTACACCTACATATGACGAAAAAGACAAAGAGGGTAAGCTTTAAGCATCAAAAACAGGCAAAGGGGTAAACTAGTAACTGCCTAGCTCATTTGACAAATGTCACCTTTCCTTTGCCCAAGGCACAGAGAAATCACGCAGTACTTGCCAGACAGACAGACAGACTAGCCCACTGAGTGATTTTACTTTATTTTTTCAGTGGAAAAAGCACAGTTAGCTGGAAGATGCATTTCTATCTGGAAGTATTCAATTCATCCTTAAGAGCAGAGGGAGGAGAGAAGACAGTTTGTTTTATTTATTTAATTTATTTCAAGGCACTTTGAATAACTGTACTTTGCCAAAGTGCGTCTGTGTTCCAGAATCTCCGGCTATTCAAAAGCCATACTGGATTTAGTACTAAACAGATTTTTTCACAAGTTACTAAAATGGATGAAAATTGGCTTCTCCAAGAACAACTCCTTTTTCTGAGCTTTTACAGATGGAGTTTGGAAGGCCTACAGAGCCCTGCAATCTGAAAAACGGAGACAAAGGAAGAGGTGATGGTTATGAGCAAGGCAGGAGTGAGACATCATGCAAAGCAGCTCTGAAGTATAATTATTAAATTTTTTTTTATACCCATTGCCAGGCTAACCATGTAGCGCTCTGTGAGAAAAAAAAATTTGGGAAAGCTGACAAATATCTGTATTGAGATATTATCCCCTCCTCTACCAGGTCTCTTCCTACAGATAGATATCGTAATAAGCACGTCAATGACTACCTGGTGCAGAAATGGGGCAGAAAGTGTGCTGATCAATATGGAAAAATATACACTAGACTCTTTCTTCGGTCCTCTCTATGCAGCATTCAAGGGTGATCACCAGAAACTCCTCTAACATAAGCATATGATGTGCAAACAAATGAACATGTTGACTTTTAAAATAATTGCTTATTCACTAACACATTGTACTGCAACTCTGTACTTTATTTAGCAATATAAAGGGCATAAAAAAAATCATCTGTACCCAGGATTGTAAGGAAAAAAAAAAAAAAGAAAAGAAAAAAAGAGGTCCTGCATATTCCATCTAGCTTCTCATGAAAAAAGTGACTTCTGAAACTACTTCACATTAACACTGGAAAAAGGGGGAAGTTGCACAGCACACTAAGTTTTAACACACAAAGACATAGAGGATTGTTATTACATGCATATGCCCTAGTGAAAGAATACGTTTAATCAAGATTTCTAGAGAAATTACACGTTTTTATGGACAATATAAGAACAAATTTCCTAGTAATATGCATTACTTTATATGATGTAAAACTCAGCTTTGTAAATTGTTTTGTATCCTAAACACTAAAATTTCCAAACACAGATACCTAAACCAGGGACATGGGCCAATTCACTGTCGAGGGCATTTGCAGGTCCTACCCGTTAATTTAAGAGCCTCCAAGGAGGCAACGCTTTCTGGGCAGGAGCACCTCTGCCCACACGGAGCACGCGCACGTTGTTCAGACTTCCTGTGCAAAGGGGCACAATTAATAAGGACGAGGATTTTCACAGGGATCTAAATTAACAGCTTACGTTGTCCTCCAGATACTTTTGAGGAAAGTCATCAACTATTTCACCAGTACTGGAAGCAAACGCAAATGTGCTATTTCCACTTTTAGAGATTTTAAAAAGTCACACGAATTACTCTGAATTGTTTATATGTGAAGCTTTCTGTGAGGCTGGTTTTCTGCCAGCTTTGTGTTAACATTAACAGCAAGTTCCTTCTTTTCAGATCTTTTGAACATTAAAAAAATTACAATCTGTCTGCAAAAGCCTAAAAGAGAACTGTAACTGTCAACATTTTGGTTTAATATCGACTCTGCCTTTCTGAATACAGAGTCACACTCCGGCAGTAAACTGATGAAGTGAAGCAACAGGATGGAGAAGGGATCACAACGTGAGCTCGTCACCGACTGCGGCACTGCAAACAGAAAGTGCACCCAAGGAGTACAGGGTATCAGACAAGACTCCCTTAAGATTTAACATCATCACGTATGCTTAATTTCAATTCTCTCAGCACTCCCAAATTAACAGGATTATTTCATTTTCATGCATATGAATGAATGTATAATTGCTCGCAGAATCTGGCTCTAAAACATAAAACTATATATAGTTACAGAAGTGGTGAGAAAGACTTACCTCCATCAAACTTAAATGTATTCCAATGAGGTAGGGCATTGGGGCACTGCAAAGAGGAAAAAAAAAAAACTAGCTTTACATTTTATAGCACTGGATTAGCACATATGACTTAGAAAATCAGCTACGGGAACATACCGGGATACTGGGTTAGATTCTGCTTAAAAAATGTTTTTATGTTTATATATATACACACACAAACAAACCACACGTGAACAAAACTTTATTTCACATTTCAAAGACTTTTTTACTATGTAACACCCTCTCAAGACATCCGAATTCCGAAGTGGCTAAGTTAGGACAGGTAGGCAAGGACAGCTATTAAACAGATCTGTAATACTGGGGTCCTTTTTTAAAAAACAAACAAAACGCGTTATGCAATTTCCAAAATATACCCAGACTTTTTCTAAGAGTATTCTTTAGAAAAATTGATCCTGTAGTAGCGTTAAGTGATTAATTTAACATATAAGTATCACCCAGTACTACGAGTCTTAAATCCTTTGAATACAGGCCCAGACACATTTTAAATATTTTAATTTTTTTACGTACAAACCTTGAAATGCTTATATTTATAAAAGAAAAATATAAAAATTACTTTTGAAGATTGTGATAATCTCCAGAATTACTGGGATATATGCTGATACCATTATTCCCTTCAGAACACCAGAGTTAAATCCACCAAGAGGCTCTTCGGCCAAATCGTAGCCTCACGCACAGGTGTGATAGCTCTGTTACCAAACAGAACACTAACATGTAAAAGGAAGATTGATCTTTTCCATCCTTGCTACCAAGATGTTAGCAAACACTAATGTGGACCAGATAACACAAGAGGAACACTGAATGGAAGTTGTATCTTTGTGTACACAGTATTTCTAATATTAAGCTTATTCCAGGACTCCCACTCAACTGATCAGGGAAAGCTTCTATTTGCACTGCTTATTAGAACACATCAAAGAGGGTGCCAAAGCTGCTAATTGCAAATATGGCATATACTGCCTGTTAAACGGAAAGCACACAGACAGACACAACTTTTAAAATAGAGCCTCATTTCATTTTGGATACAGAAGCTCAAAGAGCTCATTTTCAATTTCAGATGAAAAAAATGAGAGAAATGTCACTGCACTGCCTTAGATTAAAATATCTTCCATATTGCTTTTATAAGCTGGTGCCTACTGCTCAGTAAGAGTAGAGTGCTGAAAAAAACTACTGCAAGACACCAGACCAGCAAAAATCACTCTGCTTCCCGTTTTCATCAGAAATACTTTTAAAACAATATATTTACTGACATGCAGATTAATATTTATCATGTTTATTAATATAACCCCTAAAACTGCTACTCTGCTGGATGCAGAGCTGGAAACAGCCTCTGTATCAGACATTCTACATGAATACGCGTGGGGGTTTTTTGAAGGCATTAAATATACAACTTGAAACCCCTCACAAGTCCACCTGCAGAACACAGAAGTGCCACGGACCACATTACACTACAGCTCAGAACGGCCTCGGCAAGACTACCCTGCCCAAGCCTCACCCGATACAGCGCCTACGACAGACAGCCCAGAGCGACCGCGAAACCAGAGACCAACTTGGTACAAGCCCTGAGGGTTCTGCTTCCCTGGGAAAGCACAGATGAGAACCACAACACACATCCACCTTCTGCCATAGAAATGTTTACCGTACAACGTGACACACACTTATCACATACGGATTGCTGCTCAGCTGAGGAGTGTTTGTATTTGCCATTTTGCACGCTTTACTTGCAACAAACACTCATCTCTTTCCCCCTCATCTCTTCATTTCCAATGGCCACATTCCAGCAGCAAGGAATTTTACATTGAAAGGATAAACCACTGGTTTAGCTGCCAGCTGCACAAATGCTCAACTTCCCCGTGTGCCTGGCCGTGCTGCTCAAGCCTCCTCCAGTATGCACCGAAACGAATGTGTTTCTAATTAAGTAGTTTCATGAACACGACAGCTTCAATCTCAAAAATACAAAGTCTGAACCTCGGCAGGAAGTCTTAAGACTGCAAATGTCTCATCTAGTGGAACCTTGGCTAACGTAATGAAAGGAAGCAGGAAGAGTGCAGTACTCCAGAAAACCAGCCATTTATTAACGTGTCCAACAGCAGAGTCTGTCACCAAGCATAGGAAAACCTGAACCTGTAAAAGTTAATTAGCTGAACCGTGTCCATCTTTCAACCGTCCAGTTTACCAACAAAAGAACAATAAGAATGCCTAAACCCTTAAAACCATGCACCTCCACTAAGGTTTTAAGGATTTACTGGCAAGATATGACTTAAGATACATGGCTCAGCTTCGGATGCAATGAATCATCTTACCAACTTTCTAGTGACAGACATTACATGTAAAGACAACGCAGCATATAAAACTATTACAGGAATTGCATAAAGGCTACAGTAACCCGACTTTTAGCAGTGTTTGAAAGCTGTTATTTCTTTAAACTTGTATTACTGAACATTAAAAGGACTCCAGTCAGGTGTTTAATGGGCTGTACCAGGCATACACTTGGGCAGACAGGAGAAAGCAGGAGGAACAATTTGATACTAGAGAACTACAAAGAGTGGGTTTAGCACACCCACAGACAGAAAAAATAGCTCAGGTTTTGCTGATTGATATGAAAAAGGAAACTTTGAAGCAGTAATTTGTTAATGTGCTAGTTTTGCAAATATTTGTGTTGGTTTTGCAAACAGTTGCAGAGATTTCCACTAGGGAATGAGGCAGAGCACAAAAGACAAAGTTGGGTATTTCTGAGACACACTAACACATGAGTGAAAACTGGATCACAGGGCACCGGGACATGGCACTGGTGCAGAGAATGACCAGCAGACAAGGTACACACTGCAAAGGGCTCCGGAAGGTGAATAGCATGTTTGATGCAGAAGAGAAGATGGGGAAAGCAGAAAGTACATGAAGAAGGTTGACAAAATGAAAATAATTCCTGTACGAACTTTTTCAACATGTATAAGCAATCGCCTGGCTTCCAGAAGTCAGAGGGAAAACACAGAATGGTCAGACCTTGGGCAAAGACACCTGGAGCTACACAGATGGGTAAGAAAGGCCATGTTTCAGATAAGAAGCAGAAGAAACACGCCCTATTTAGAAACATATTAGGTCTGAAGACCAACAAAGAATTCCCCAAGTTATAGGTCTACGTGAAAAGAAATTAACTCACTTTTATCCACAAAAGCCATTTTGTGTAAGGACTGAAAGACATCAAAGAGGAATGAGAAATGGGAGGCATCTGCGAACATCCCAGCAGAGAATCGAGGGAAATAAATGCAGGTTTTAGTTGGTGTGAAAGGTGACAGGCATAGACAAAAGCAGATCTGTGACGTATCCATGAAGAACTGGTTTTTGAAGGTGCACATTGGTTTATTCAAAACTGCTTTTAAAACAACCGTTACCGTTCATCACTCAAATGTGGACCATAAAGTGTTTTCTCCATGGATAACAAAAATCAAATTATCTGAATACCTATTTTATCAAGATCCATTTTCTTTGTCAGAACTGACGATATTTTAAGGATAACTCACCATGATAGCTCCCTTACACTCCCAAAAGTTTAATGAAGCAAACATCATAAATAACATCAGTAAAATATAATTCTGATAAAAAGTATAAATATTTCCAATCAAATCTACCAGAGAGATTATATTCTTCCGTCATCACGCTTCAATCTGACTGAAAAGGAAACACACCTAACAGTAAACGTTGAAGGCACATGTCAGACTTCATAAACCGCTTTTATCACTGTTTTTCTTTATCATCTGTTAATCACATGCCATCACCTAAATACTCAGCTACCATCCTGTACAAGGGCACATCGTGGACCTCCTCGTCCCCGTTCAGAGCACACTACAGTAGTTCTCCCTAACTGCAATTCAGGTCCTGAGACATGAAATGCTCGAGCAGTTTTTAATATTTTATCGAGCTCGATGCGTATTTCCAAGACTTTCAAGTGAACCTCAGTAAGACACAATGCTTGTATAAACAGGAGGGACACTCTGCACAATCTTTAATCTTTCTGGGACCCATGACAGATTAAAGACTGCCCCTCAGACCAGGCTTTGCCTGCTCCTTGACACTTCACCACTCCTGGGGCTTCTTACAACCACAACTACTAATTACTCAAAGTGGTTCGATGGCAGCCAACATCCATTAAGTGCAAAATTAAGAAGTATCAATTTCTACTGCACATATTTACTGCTTAAACAAAATGCCTGCCTGAGTCTTTGGGAACAAAGAGAGAGGTTATTACTCCTCTTGTGCGACACTGGTGCCCAATGCAATCAGCATTATTTATAATCGAATGAGCTATACAGGTAAATATCAAATCATTAAAGTAGCAATGCGTAAGCATGAATATGGATATTGTGGACTTAATGGCCATATATTGCCCATTTATTACAGTTGCAATTTTACAATTTCTTTAATTCGTTTCCTTAGGCTAACTAGAGACCTCTTAATTATGCTCCCAAGAGGTGGGCAACTACTAATTGGAAGAGAAGCAGGTGAAATAGAGGGACATTTCCTCTTAAGTGAAAAAAACCCACCTTCAAAAAAAATACTGTAATTCACCAGAAAAAGTAATGTAAAACTCAAGGATCTCAAAAAGGTTCATAGTTTACAGCTGCACAGGGATTTGCACCATTTTGCTTCATTGTTCCAGGAAAATTGATTTGATCACATTTACTAAGTTCATCTCTTGATATACAAATACTGACTTAATGTGCTGCGCTCTCCCACCAGTGCTGCTCTACTCTCTAAGGCAGTCTCCTGATTTCTCTTCAGATTACTCACTGAAATGCAACAGAATTCAACCCAAAATTTATTGGGCTAATTGGTGCAGATTAGCAACTTGACAGCATAAACTGGGATGATGCAGAAAACATACAGCTAAGAAACCAGAAGAGCAACTACAAGAGCTGTCAGTGAGTACACAGATGTACCGGGCTAAATCGAAATGCCTACCAAGAGGCTCCCGAGGAAGGAAGCATTGTTTCCCGAGCAGCAGGAGTACTCACCCTC